GAGCGGGCAAGCTGTCCTGACGAAAACCGGGCCACCGCCGCCTCCTCCTGCTCAGCTCGTCCCGTTCGACGAGCGACGACACGATCGTCCAGCGACTACGGCAACGACGACGCGATCAACAACGCCAGGTAGCCGTCGTGTCATCAGGTACACGATTATCGTCCAAGCGTCCGCCGAGAAGAAAGAGGGTCCTGGGGATGCCCGCCAGGGCCCAGCCGCGCACCACACTCGCCTACGCTCAAGGACGATGACGATCGGCCGCGATCGGTAAGACTCAGGCAGCGCGAGCTCGCGCCACCACCACCGCGGAGATGGCGGGCTACAATCATTCGAATCCACAGCGTGTCGTCTACCACGCGACCTACCCGACGCCCCTCGCTCCAAGTGAGTTTATCTGCTGCTTATGCACCAGGTAGAGTGAAAGAGAGAGAAAGAAAGAGAGAGAGAGAGAGAGAGTGAGAAAAATAAGAGAGAGAGACAGAGAAATTCACCTTCGTTTACTCTGTTCGAGAGACGCGTTGCGACTTATTACCGGGGGCGTGTGTATATACAGGGAAGTCTTTCGGGATCCCTCGTTTGTTACGCGGGTTTGGAAGGGTGGATTCTACTTCGTATTCTATTCTTTCTTTACTGTCAGTCGGCAATATGACGGATCGTACGAGGGGATTTAACGCGAAAGATGAACTCGGGAATTGTCCCAAACCTAACTTTTTTCTTTTTCTACATTAAAGAAAGAGATACTTGAAAATTTGTTTGTAGAATATAAAGTTTATTTCTGTCGAGAACAAAGTTTATTTTTGTGAAAATAAACTCTATATCCCGTAAATAAATTCTCTAGTATTTGTTCTGTTGGTGTGACATTCTCGTTTCCTTCTTTTCAGTGAGTTAAGCAGTTAGGCAAGTCTGTTTGATTGAAAAATAAGAGATAAGATTTTTTATTGGTTTGCAAATTTGCTTTTTATTAGTTTCGTATCTTTGAACGTAGAGAACTTTATAATTTCTCCTCGACAATTTTAGAAATTGAACGTTACTATACCGAGAAAAAATATTTAAAAATATATTTGTGGGATGTAAAGTTCATTTTTGCGTAATAAGATTTATTTCTGCAAAATAAAATTTATTTCTGTGAACAAACTTTATATCCCACAAATAAATTTTCGAGTGTTTCTCGTGTTCCTAGCGCGAATTTCTACCGTCGGCGTATTATCATCTGTCACACGCTATTATACGTTGTTGGCATAATTTTCTACCAGGGCGCGACTACGCGAAAATTGTGATGAAATATTTGCGTCGTGCTTACGGAATAACGAACGCTAACAAGCTAACGTCGCGACGTTAAGAAGTTGGAGGCGAGTACACATCAATTCGCTGTTAGGGAAGCTAGAAGACCGCGGCACGAGAGTGCGCTTAAACATCATACTTATGATTGAAAGTTTAGTTAATGGCGCCTAGTTTCGGCGAGTTTCGCGAATCGATGAATATTACATAGGGCATAGGCGACCGAAAGCTAAGCGCCGTTAGATAAATATTTGATTCGCCGTCGGATAATTCCCGCTAACTTTGGATAGGAATTTCCAGCCGGGAACGTTTCGCCGCCAAAGATAAAACTCGACTTCGACTCGCTGTAATTCGCTACGTCAATTAGGGGGAAGTTATTCGGGAAGAAACGTCATGAACGGGAAAGACGCGCAAGCGTGCTTATTATTAATTATTTTTAATCGCATGAAAATATTTTTCACGGATTTGCGAAGATGCACTCAAGCGACGCTTGCTTACTCGCATAGCTAATTAAAGAGTAACAAGGTTACCGCAAATCGTACGATAAAATACGTAAAAAAGTAACGCACAATAAAAAACATACGTGAAGAAAGAACAAACAGGAATTTTCTGATCACAATCGGCACTCGATTTTACGTAAGGCAGCCTCTGACATTTCGGAAAAATACTGGGCGAGCCGTGTCTGCTCTCGTTTTTGCCATTACTTCTCGGTCAACCCCAAATCGAACTCTTGTTATTCCCTCTTCTTTTTCCTTTTTTAGAGACTTCTCCGCGAAGGTAGTGGAGGTGACACGTTAAGAATCGTATCGAGAACTGCACGCAGTACAGGCGAACTTTATTATCCCTGTGACAACTTTACGACTTCCGGCAGTGCGTCTTTTCAATTTTGCGTGATAGATCGCGCGAGATGCAGAGAAAGAGAAGGAGAAAGACAGAGAGAGAGAGAGAGAGAGAGAGAGAGAGAGAGAGAGAGAGAGAGAGAGA